GGGCCTGGAATATACAATTTTAACCAAGGAACAGAATCCAGGTTCAAAACCATTTTTTAAGTGCTGTAAATAAATAGATCTACTCTATTCTATCAAATGCCTTATGGGCATCTAAGGAAATTAGGACCTCTGGATTGGTATTATTTTTTGGTGAATAAATAATATTTAAATAAGCGATGAAGGTTGTAAGATGTAAGAACTGTCTCCCAACAATAAAACCAGTTTGATCTGGGTGAATTCTCTTTCCCATGACTGACTCCACTCTGATTGCCAGCACTTTAGCCAGGATCTTATAATCACAGAAGAGTAAGCTGATCTGATTCTTACCCTTTTTAAGAAGTACTGTTATAACAGCCAATCTCATGGAGGGGTGAGTGATTCTGAAACAAGAGCTTCAGCAAATACCTTGCACAACAGGGGTGTTAGCTTGGCAGTAAACTTATTATAAAACACGTATGGGAAGCCATCGGGGCCTGGTGCTTTTCTGGTTTTTAATTTTTTGATAGCATTTTCAATTTTAGAAGGTGTTGTAGGGGATCAACCTACGTTTTAATATTGATCAGGGGTTTATTAGCTCATTTCAATGAATCGGATCCTAAAGATTGAATCAGATTAAAAGATTTACACTTTATCTACCATTTGTCCCGCAAATAGAAGACATCGTATCTTGCCAATCTTGTTAATATTATTTACGTGGCCAACGACAATAACATAACACAGTATTGGGTTAACTTTTAGCAAGGTAACAAGATCTACAGCTCGACGCAATGACTTAGAGGCACATAAACAAGAACACAGTTCTTACAAAATGAGTACAAAGATTTATTGAGTTACACTACGATACATGAAACTTACTACGTAATAAGCAAACAACAAACAAACGCACACTCACATTCACACATACACACAGAGGCAGTTCAGAGGATGCAAAATAAGTTGACAATGTCCCAAATTAATTCTAATACTTCTTACAATATCTTAGAATAACACCTGAGAAACCACAAAAGCAGAGTTATGGCTTATCTTTAACTGCTTAAGATCAATCTGCACAAGATCAGCAAGAGACAACATTAATTTGTGTTACTTGCGCCCTTTTTGCTGAAGTCGAATTTCCCTCGCCGGCTGGCCTTGGGGAAACACGGTGCTCCTGATTGGGTGGTGACTCGCTTCGATGATGTGTTTGGGATTCACTCGCTCGTGAATGGCTGTTGTCCTGGGTTACCTAGGTGACGGACTGCTGAGAGTCGGTTTTGCGGAAGTTTGAAACTTAAGAGGTTTGCGTGGAAGTTTGTGGTGACCCAATCGCGTGGCAGCGCGGTGTCCGGGCAGGCGAGAGGGGGCAGAGAGCAAAAGCATGCGCAAGCTAGCTGATGCAAAAAGCAAAGTTTCTTTGTCACAGGGCGTTTTTAAGTGACCTGGTCTGGTTCATCCCCATGGCACTGTCTGCCAATGAGCAGTTGCCATGAAGAGTGGGGCCACACCCCGTACCGACGTAGGAAAGGTCAATAATTAACAGAGTGCATGTAGATTTCACGTATAGAACTCTTGCAAGATTGTAATGGTAATGATAGAGTAATGGTAGTAGTGATGATGATAACAATAAAACTGTATATGTAAAAACTGAAAATAAATAAAACAAAAAGGGATTAAAGTTACTTATTAAGTGGAATTCGTCTGTTTACTGTCCCACACATAACACTGGAAAACCATTAGGAGCTTTAAATCCGTCTGTTCAATAACATACTTCTCAATATTTAATTTTTTTCTTTTTTCTGAGTTAGTAGAATGTTTGTTTGGCCAAGAAACAACAGCTGTAATAGTCAGTTCCTAATTATGTGCGGCATCATATAGAGCCAACTGAATAAAGAAGATGCCATCAATTGTATTTGAGCTTATTACCCTGGGGTTTTACCGTACTTTTCCACAAATTTCGCGGCTTTGGCTGGGTCAACGAACACCTCAGGCGCCACATCTACATTCTGATGTATTTGCAACCTGGCCGGGTATCTCAGTCTGAACTTGACTCCTTTTTTACGTAGCGCTTGCATTACATCCTGAAAGGCATTCCGTTGAGACATGACCTCTGCTGTATAATCAGGAAAGATGAAAACCCTTTTGCCCTTATATTCCAGAGGTTGTAGTCTCCCGCGACGCAAAATCAATTCCTTCTCTTGGAAGTGGTGTATACGCGCCAGAATTGTGCGCGGTCTCTCACCCATGGCCGGTTTGGGCAGGAGAGACCGGTGCGCACGGTCCACTTTAACTGGGTTAGGAAAGTGTTCTTCCCCGAGGAGCTGTGGAATCAGCCGGGAGACAAAATCAGTGGGTTTACCTTCTTCCTCGTCCTCCTACGGAAATGTGTCGTCATGACCTGGCCTCCAGATCCATAACTTTGTCCCGCAGTTGCATATTTTGTTTGGATAGTTCAGAGACTTTAGTCTCTAAATCATGCAATCGCGTATCAAAGTCGCTCGCCGCAGTCTCCTGATTTGTCACACGGACCTGTAGTTCAGCCTGTGAAGCCACAAGTTTCTGGAAGTTGAGTTCAAAAGCATCGAAGCGATCGTTCACACCTCGCAAGATTGACTCAGACATCTCCTTACTTATTTCTTTACATAAAGCATAAGCGGTGTCTGGTAGTATTTCAGACTTTTCAGGTGAATTGTTAGCATTAGCTCCGGCGACGTCGTCGGCGACTTTTCCTTTGTGTGAGGCACTCGGTTTTTTCATTTTCTAGCTTTAGCAGGAGTTTGGGATGTAAAAAAAAGCGTGAACACAATTAAAAGTATTAAAGTCGAACAAAAACACGGTAATTTAATAACTTAATTGAGGCCATCTATCCACGAGACATGCGCACTAGTGCCCCCGCTCCCGTCCTTCTTTAATTCCCGTAATGTGGAGATTTGAGCAGCGAGACCTCTCCTCAAGACCTTCGATTCAGTCCCTCAGCAGAGCCAGCTCCTTTTACACAATACTAAACTCTTTTTCCAGGGTAGTAAGAGAGTCAGAGTATCCACCCAACACAGACTCCAGACCAGTCACTCGCTCTTACGCTGCTTCCACTCTGGCGTTAATGTGCTCCACATTATTGCGTAACTGTCCGAATCTGGTCAATTTAATTCCAAAGTTCATTTGACTGTGCAACGGCCTTTTCTTCAATTTAAGCAATCAAATTGGCCTTTAATCAATAGCTTGACGGCCCGCACTGTTATCACTTGCCGGGGCCGTCTATTTCTTAGATGCAGCTTGCTCATCGGGGTTACCATTAGCATAGAGGCTAGTAGCGGATTTTGCCTCTACAGATGCTTCTGCCTATATTCATCCTGATTCAAGTTGAATGACGCTCAGAACAGCTAGAATCAGACACTAAAATGCTTATTTTCCAGTATATGTAGGTTTAAGGTAATAGTATTTAGGATAAGAGCAATATTAAAAAACATTGTTTCACGTGAGGACCTCAACAGTTTGCGTCTTCACATGGTGCTGCTTTAACCTGAAGTCCAAAGCAAACAGTTTAACAATAATCACAATGAAGCAAAAAACCCTCAGCACATATAACTCAAATGAAAGTGAAAGGAAAAAATGCAAATGATTTCAGGCCAGCAGATTCGTCACATTTGAAAACGGGGAAAATAATAATGATAATAATAGGATGAGAAAAAACAAAACAAGATAAATAAAATGAAAATTTGGGCAAAAAACCCATGGAGTGAAGGGGTCAATGGAAATGAGAGGGGAATGGCGAATGTGGAGGTGTGAATGTGAAGGTTGAGGGCGTCTCAGTTGAGCCGCTGAGTCGGCTACTGACCTCATGCCAGTGAGATAAATCGGTAAGATGATTTTATTCCGAACACACTGCACTGAAGTCTTTGGTGATGCACTCGTTCAGACATCATGAGCACTTCAGTGACAAGACACAGTGTTTCTCACAGCCAGTCGTTAAGTTTACACGGCTCGTCTCGACCCAGTTTCTCTACTTGTTTCCCAGCACTGCAACATTTCAGTTAACTTCTCTTTCTTCTGCACACCACACAATGCTGCCCTCTTCAACTCTTCTCTTTCTTTATACTCTCACCCATTTTCTTTTTTGACGTCCTATGGGTGAAGACCAATTAAACAATGTTGACTTTAAGAGTTCATTGAGTTATTTTTTCTTTCTTTTTTTATTTCAAAACATTTTCCTAGAATATGTCAAAAATAATATCAGTCTGTTTGCTGAAACACAGAGAAAGTTTTGAATCCAGAATGGATGAAAATGACCCAACAGCACACAAGGGGAAAGGTGCACATTTCAGCCTTTATGCAGATGCTGTACAGGTGTGTCTCATGTCTGTGTGGCAAATATTCAGCTGTTTGTTCAGCTCTTACCCCAGAACTTTTTTTTCTGATGCATTAACCAGTCAGGCACAGAATGAACAAGTATTCCCTGTCTGCTTTAAACATTTTAGAAAAACATTTTGTTGTAATTGTGAATATATATGAATAAAAATAGGCCATTTACAGCTTTTACATCTGTGTCTTATCAATATGACCAAAATGACTTTTTATGATCAATTATGTAAAAAAACTCTGTATACTGGACTGACACAGTTTCAATTTGCTATAACTTCTATGGTAAGCGGCTTTGACACAATTTACATTGTAAAAGCACTAGATAAATAAAGATGAATTGTATCTGCTTAAATGTGTACACGTTAATGGACCAAACAAAATATGATCTGATTTATTTTACATTTAATGTGCATCAAAATTACAGTGTGTGTAGCCAATGTTTCCTGTGTCTTTTCACTTTTCAGCTTTTGATGAGAGATTTTATGACTTATTGAAAACTAATGTTTTATTTCTTTCAGACCTAATTGAAGAGTATGAGGGGAGTAAAGAGGAGGAACATCATGTCAAAATTGAGGGAAAAACTCATTTACAGACTGATGGTATTTTAAAAAGAAGAGACAAGAATCGTTTCACCTGCACTAAGTGTGGGAAGAGTTTTGGCAGAAAAGGCATTCTTAAGATTCACATGATGATCCACACTGGAGAGAAACCATTCACATGCACTTGGTGTGGGAAGGGTTTCAGCCAATCATCAAACCATAATCGACATATGATGAGCCACACTGGAAAGAAACCATTCACATGCACTCAGTGTGGGAAGAGTTTCTGCCAATCATCACACCTTAATGTACACATGAGGATCCACACCGGAGAGAAACCATTCACATGCACTCAGTGTGGGAAGAGTTTCAGACAAACATCATCCCTTAATCTACACATGAGGATTCACACTGGAGAGAAACCATTCACATGCACTCTGTGTAGGAAGAGTTTCAGCATATCATCATCCCTTAATCTACATGTGAGGGTCCACACTGGAGAGAAACCATTCACATGCACTCAGTGTGGAAAGAGTTTCAGACAAACATCATCCCTTAATCAACACATGAGGATCCACACTGGAGAGAAACCATTCACATGCACTCTGTGTGGGAAGAGTTTCAGCAGCCCATCAGACCTTTCTAAACACATGAGGACCCACACTGGAGAGAAACCATTCACATGCAATCAGTGTAGGAAGAGTTTCAGCAACTCATCAGACCTTTATAGACACATAAAGACCCACAGTGGAGAGAAACCATTCACATGCACTCAGTGTGGAAAGAGTTTCAGACAAACATCATCCCTTAATCTTCACATGAGGATTCACACTGGAGAGAAACCATTTACATGCACTCAGTGTGGGAAGAGTTTCAGCCGCTCTTCACACTTTAACTACCACATGAAGACCCACACTGGAGAGAAACCATTCACATGCACTCAGTGTGGGAAGAGTTTCAGCCAATCATCAAACCTTAATAAACACATGAAGACCCACACTGGAGAGAAACCATTCACATGCACTCAGTGTGGAAAGAGTTTCAGCCAATCATCAAACCTTAATAAACACATGATGAGCCACACCATTCAGAGTAACCATTCACTTGCACTTTAGCCACGGTAACACTGGACTTCTCTCCCCATAGACATCCATTCATACACACGCAAATGCGTCAGACCGGAAATGCAAGTTTGTGCATCAAGTTTCGCAGTTCACTGCGTTGCAAAGTTTAAGCTTGGGGAACTCTGACCTGCGAAATCACTTTAAATGACTTTGTGAGACCAATAGAAAGAGAGAGAGACCATTAACATGCACTCAGTGTGAGAAGAGTTTCAACCGATTAGCAAAGCTTAATGAACACATGAAGATCGTCCAGGTTACGTACGTAACCAACGTTCCCCGAATAGGGAACGGAGACGTGTGTCTGTATAAACAGACTTTGGGAGTGCTTTAGACGACCAATCTCTTCTGAAGATAGAATAATGGGCCAATGAAATGCCAATTGAATTGGCGGAGTTTAGCTCCACAGCTGAAACTGATGAGCCAATTAGGGCTATATCAGTCAGCTGTGTGAGTTAGCTTGTCAGAATTTTGCCTGCTGAAGAGCCGATCACTCAGCTCTCAGCTGGAGACTCAGGTGTTGTGGCAGTGGAGACACACGTCTCCGTTACCTATTCGGGGAACGTGGGTTACGTACGTAACCTGGACGTTCTCCTTCATATGGGAACTTTGACGTGTGTCTGTATAAACAGACTTTGGGAGACTGTATGGAAAGCGCCACAGCAACCAAGCCCGTCACGCTTCTGATGTGCAGTTTGCCAAGCCAAAGCGTGAGCGCACTGACATCACCAAGAGCGCAACCTTCCAATATCCCCTAGGCCCAACATATTACCATTACATGGGAATAAATGTTAAATCGAGGGTCGTAAGTGTGCTTTTACCTAGCTAATATAGACTAGGGATTTTTGGGAAATACGACAGTAGGTTGGCAAAGTGTCAGTCCCCGCAAGGGGAGGATGCGGCGGAGACCACCTGCTACCCAGAAGGGGAGACCTGATGGTAAAGAGGCTAGCCAGTTGTATTGGCACGCTCGTCCTTCGAACCCGAACCGGAGAAAAGGGCGGTGGTGTGGAAGAAAGGAGACGTGAAAAATTACGTCCTTTAGGTCTATAGCTGCAAACCAATCCTTTGGACGGACGGTCTGAATCAAGCGTTTCTGTGTGAGCATTCTTAAAGGCATTTTGTATAAATGACAGTTCAGTCTGCGCAGATTTAGGATTGGCCTTAACCCCCTGCTCTTTTTGAGCACGATGAAATATGGGCTATTAAACCCGGACCTCATCTTGGCTGGAGGGACCTGTTCGATTGCATCCTTCGCCAGGAGGACAGCAATCTCCTTTCGCAAGACAGGGGCGCTCTCGGGGATCACCCTCGTAAAAAGGACACCCATGAACTTGGGAGGGCGAATAGCGAACTGAATCGCATAGCCGAGTCTGACCGTCCGTATGAGCCACTGCAAGGCGCTGAGCAGTGCTAACCAAGCCAGCAGAGCGCCGCTAATGGCACCATCGGAGTGATCGCTGACGTGCCAGCGGAGGGGCAGCTCGGTATGGGAGTGCTTATCCCGGGAAGCAGAGCGTCCCGAGGAAGAGCTGAAAATAAGAGAGTTTCTCTTACCTTCCTACCTGGATCCCGCGGTGAGGCCGAAGTGAGAGAAAGGAGTCCGTTCTGCTGCACTCTGAGGGCCTGAGGCGAGGGGTCCCACGCTGCGAGCTGGAAGGCGAAGCGTCCCAGACTGGCAGTGCTCGGGTTTGCGCATCCGGAGAGAGAGGAAACTTCTCTTTTGGAAATTTGGTTGCCGCTGGCCCGAAGGCCGGCAGCGATGAGTTTAGAGTCACTGAGGACTGATGTAATAATCCTGGGCCCCCCACCGAGGAAAGAGCAGGTCCCCTCTTCTCCGAATAGCCCGTCCCGGGAACGCTTTGCGGTCCATTTACCGGACTTAACGGCGCCCTGGGGCGGTGCTATCCTCCCGTGGGAGGCTTGGCATTGCCGCTTGACCGGTGGAGCGGACAGCAGAAGGGGAGCGGATGTTGAAGCCGTGGGTGGACGCCTTCGGCAAAGAGCTGCCGCAGCGGAAGGGGCAGCAGGAGGAGCAGTTTTCTGAGCCCGCTGATCGATGGCTTCACCCATCGCCTTGGACTGCTCTTTCACCGTGGAGAATTCCTGGGTGAACTCCCCAACGGTGTCACCGAACAGGCCAGCCTGGGATATGGGAGCGTTAAGAAAGCGAGCTTTGTCAACGTCACTCATATCCGCCAAGCTCAGCCAAAGGTGGCGTTTCTGGACCACTGATGTGGCCATCGTCTTCCCCAGGGCACAAGCAGCCGATTTGGTGGTCATGAGAGCATAAGCGGTTGCCGTGCGGAGCTCATGAGGCAAGCCCGGGGGAGAACCTCCCTCCTGCATCTCGCCCAGCTTCTCGGCTTGGTAGCGTTGATAGGTGGCTATAGCGTGCAGAACGAACGTGTGCTCTCTTAGGGAATTCTGCTCTTTCAGATCACCCGCGAAGCGCCAAGGGGACAGGAAACCCAGCTCGTCCACCGCTTACACGTCTTCTCCCACACTGGTGAAAGTAAGGCTTTCTTCAATGTTGGAAGTCAGCTCAGCAGAAGGGTTCTTCAGTCTCAGATCGGGTCTGAAGCAACAATTCTGACGAGCTAACTCGCACAGCCGACTGACATAACCTTAATTGTCTCATCAGTTTCAGCTGTGGAGCTAAGCTCCGCCAATTCAATTGGCATTTCATTGGCCCAATTTCATATCTTCAGAAATGATTGGTCGTCTAAAGCACTCCCAAAGTCTGTTTATAAAGACACACGTCAAAGTTCCCATATGAAGGGGAACCACACTGGTGTGAAAGAGTATATGTTCTTTGTGTGTAAGAAGACTTTTATTACAGCTCCAAAAATGAAACTGCACCAGACGATTCACACTGAAGAGACTGTTCAAGTGTTCACACTGAGACAAGAGCTTTAATCGGTTAACACATCTAAAACAGAAGCAGATTTACACTGGAAAGAAACTGTACAGATCTGATCAATGTCTACAGAGTTTTGCTCATTAGGTGCAGCTTAAGACACATATGGACAAAAAGTTGCACACATGACATGAATGCAGCAAAACATTTTCTCATGTGCAAAGGATGTTTCATGTCTGAATAATGTTTGAAAAGGCTCAGTGACGCTATACTTTTTTCAACACTCCTACACTGCAGTAGGTGGGGTTGTAAATGTGTTGCGCTCCTCGCGTTTACCGTAAACACAATGAAGGTGAAGAACAGTTTCATAAACATCTGGCAAACAGCACCTCTGCGGCTTAAAATCTCTTTGCAAGTGATTGTACAGGTGTGGATACATCTGTACTCTACTCTCCAGTGTATTCATGCAGCTAGAGTTGTTTTGGATGATGTTCTCTGTCTGACTCCCTGAACGAGAAACAAATCACTGGGAAGACACCGCACATCAAAGAAGGTGAAGCTTCAGGACGGTTAGTTTGCAGTATACCAGTTTAGAAAGCCCATTCAGTTGTCCTGTGTTGCATCTTTTATTAGTAAAGTTTCTTTACTTTTGGGTTCAAGATTCTTTCTAGTTTCTACATTTACTTTTTTTGAGTAGAATACAAACTTGATTAGTATTTTATGATTAGGGCAGAGCGACATGTTTTAAGTTTTACAATATTAATACACTGTGATGATTTCAAGACTCCAAATAGAAGTATGTGGTAAATCCCGATTGGATGCCTGCAGTACTCATTAATGGATATATAAAAGTTGTTATGCTAGCTACCCCAGGACACTGTGGCTACTCAGGAGTTCTCATGTCAAGACCTGCTATCTCATTGTCTCTTTAACCTTATGGTTTTGTTTTGCATTACTTGTATTATTTTACTTATATAATGTAGTTAAAGTGTTGTTGTGATTATATCCTAAGTTGTTTATCTTCATTAGTATCCCTAGACATTTGTTGGTTGCTTTGATTGATTGTTCTATGAGTTACATTTTATAATAAATAATTTGCATTCAGGCTATTTTGTTGGCTCATCTCTCTTTTTTAAGGTGTGACTCAAACAAGCGGGTCATAACACTTTGTAAAATGTGTCCGGTTTTATCCAAGATCTTGTCCTTTCAGTCATGACCATAGGTGAGAGTAGGAACCTAGATTGAGCGGTAAATTGAGAACATTGCCTTTCGTCTCAGCCCCTTCAACACAACAGAAAATCAAATTAACTGCATTACTGCTGCTGCACTGATCCATCTTTAAATCTCAAATTCCATTCCTCATGAAAAAAAAAAAAAAAAAAACGCAGATACTTGAACTCCATTTGGGGTAAGGACTCTCCTCCAAACTGGAGATGGACACCTTTTTCCAGTCAAGCACCATGGTTTCTGACTTAGAGGTGCTGTTTCTTTCGCTGCCATGTCACACTCAGCAGAAAACCATCCCACTGCATGCTGAAAGTCCATGTCCTATGAAGCCAAAAGGACAACGTTATCTGCAAATGTCAGAAACAGTCCTAGCCTGCACCTAGAATTCTGTAAGTAAATTATTATATTTTTTGAGATCAGCCTCAAAAATAGCACATTTGCAAAATTAACTGAATAAATAGATGGATGGATAGACAATGAAGTGGTGGAAAGGGAAATAGGATGACTTGTTCAACCATAAACCAAGATGTCGCTCTCTCAGGAGGCAGGGACCAGTGCGCGAGATGTCTCAGACGGAAGGCGTAATAATGAAATAAATGCTCAGGAAACCTCAACTATTTTTTATCAACTGGCTGTTGCAATGTACTCCTATGCAACCTAGAGTGCTTATTGTTTGGGAGAGAAATTAATTGACTAAATTATCAAACTGTTTTAAATATTGCAAAGAAATATTTACAGGGATGTAGTGAATTAGAAAAGTAACTTGAGGAAGGTAATTCATTTTGAATATGATAGTTCATCAAGTGTAATACCCTGTAGGCATCATTTATGTTGACTGATTTTTCTGTTACAAAATAGTTTTGACTTATATAACCACTCATTCATGATGGCTGAATTCATCGGGATAAACAATATGTGATTAAACACACTGCAAAAGATTTATGTTTGAGTAAAAGAGATTTATTTCTGTTTCAAGGTTTTACAAAAATGAATAAAGAACGCAAAACTTTTCGAGAGACTGCAAAAACTTAAAAATATATATTTTCCTCCCACCCATTTTTTTTCTTTCACCCATTTTTTTTTCACTCAGCCAATTTTTTTCTCCTCCACTACATCCCTTCAGGGGTTCCGTACTATAGAACTTCTTAGTTATCTAAAGAGCTTCAAGTCAATTTAATTAATGGCCAACCTTTACTGTTTTTAAATAAACTGAGAATCTAACTTTTCTATTTAAAAAAAGGATCACTTTTATTCCATTTTTCTGAATAATCTCTCTATTTCTAATTATATTATCAAATATTTTCAATGAATTAAAGTCAGTGTGAATGAACAATTCAGTAACTAAGTTATTTTTTTCTGTAAATCATTTAATTTATCTTCTGAAATAAAGCGTTTAGTAAATGTCTTGCATTGATTTCCAAATCCCCACCTGTGTTTTGTGAACAGCAGTGTGTAGTAAATGAGTCTTTGATAAAAATGAAAGTTCAAAATAATAGCTTTATTTTGCATTACTTAAAACATTATAAATACCTGTACAATGGTTTAAAATCTTGCAATGTTATAAAAGCTATTACTTTAACCTTTATCATTAATAATTGTTAGGATAATTGTTTGTGATTTTGTAATAATAACATCTGATCATAAAAACAGCAGCTCACCATGCTGAAAATACAGCTTTGGATCACAGAAATAAATGACATTTGAAACAACATTCAATAATAAAGCAGTTTGTACTGGAGTCACTAAGACTGGCTGCCTAGTTATCCAGTCAGCAACACTAAGGCGTAAAGTACAGTGTGTTTTACCACATAATAATGTTATCCTGATGAATTGAGCCATCATGAATGAGCAATTATAAAAAGCAAAACTATTCTTTAACAGAAAGGTTGTTACATTTATCATATCAGTCAACCGAAATGGTGCTAACAGGGTATTACACTTGATGGAAATATCTTAACTGTTAAAACAACATTTTAACAGTATTTATTTTAAAATGAAAGTGAAACTGAAAGCAACACTTTTTCGCTACCAACATCAACCACCACATATATTTTAATTTCCCTTGATTCAGCCATGCCTCAGATATTCTCCAATGCATTTATGATCTTCTAAGACTGCGACAGTTATTTAAAATGATAATATTATTTCACATTTTAACAGTTTTTATTTATCTCTTAAGTTATCTTTAATTAATTAAGGATTCAGGATGTAGCTGATTGTTTAGGATAAAATCATTTTAAAGACTTTTCAATGTCATTTGCCAACAATATCTCCTATCAATAGCAATTCCTAACTTTTTGATTTGGTGGCTTGTACATAAATGTATAGGATCTCGTTCATACATTTTAGCACGATTCATTTGCTCATCCCTCAATGACGATTAAGTTTAGGGGTTAGGTTTGGTGCCTTCTTTTAAAAATCCTACATTTTCATAGATCTCAACTTGATATGAATTAGCCACTAAACTGTCAAAACATAATTTTTTTTTTTGTCTTGTGGGCTCAGGCTGCACCTGCAGAGTAGGACTAAACAGGAGCTTTAATCAGATTTAAAGTACAAATGTTTAATAAAAACAGGTGGCTTTGTTTAACATTTGGTTTAATTTATTGGACATGTGGGTCAAATTTAGGACATTTGAGTAGCATATTTTTGCATTTAAATTAAATCTTTCAATTATTATTATTTTTGCATTTGCTTTAGAATTACGGTTACATTGCTTAATGCTTTTAAATACATTTATTCACTTTCATTTCAGAGGTTAACATAATTTGAATTTATTTTGTTCTTGTGTTGATTTACAGTTACCAATGCATTGCTTATGGTTTTCAGTTAGATTCATTTAATTTAATTCATGAGAACAATCCTCAAATGTACTTGCTTTTTTAATTTTAAAGTAAATTTGAATTATTAAACTTGTAAACGTTACAAAACAATTTGGTAATTTCAAATAATATAATTAAATACTTAAAATAATTAATCAACTTCATTTATGAAATTACTTCAACAAATTATCTGAATCTACTTTAGTAACATTTACTTAATTCTTAAGTTAAAAAAAATAAGTTTACTCTAATAAAAAATATGTTGTTTTACTAAAATAAGTGAGCGTTTATTATAATTTAAGAATTAAGTAAATGCTGCTAAAAATAAGAATTAAATAATATAATTAAAATACTTATTCAATTTTATTTTTTACAACTACTTTAATTTAATCTATGTGTTAATCTTGTAGTAACAAATATATACAGTTGAAGTCAGAATTATTAGCTCCTCTTTGAATTTTTTATTCGTCTTTAAATATTTTCCAAATGAAGTTTAACAGAGCAAGGAAATTTTCACAGTATGTCTGATAATATTTTATTTTTTTATTTTTTTTGGAGAAAGTCTTATTTGTTTTATTTCGGCTAGAATAAAAGCAGTTTTAAATTTTTTAAAGAAATTTTAGAGTCAAAACATTTTAAGGTCAAAATTATTAGCCCCTTTAAGCTATTTTTTTTCCAATAGTCTACAGAACAAACCATCATTATACAATAACTTGCCAAATTACCCTAACCTGCCTAGTTACCCTAATTAACTTAAGTTAAGCCTTTAACCCTTAAAGACCTAGAGCACAGGTGTCAAACTCAGTTCCAAAAGGGCCGCAGCTCTGCACAGTTTAGTTCCAACCCTAATTAAACACACCTGATCAAACTAATTCTAATACTAAAACTAATAACTAAAACTAATAATAGTCCTTCAGGCTTGTTTGAAACCTACAGGTAAACGTGTTGGAGCAGGGTTGGAACTAAACTGTGCAGGGCTTCGGCCCTCCAGGGATTGAGTTTGACACCCCTGACCTAGAGGTATTTTGTGGGCACCTGGTGGGGAAAATGTGTCAGTCCAGTGAGAAAGGGTTTACAAATCTGCAAGGCCTGTCTTCTGCTCTGCTGGCATAGTGATGAGGAAAATCAAGTGAAACCTAGTTTCTTTAACCAGGTCAAAGCAAGCAAGAAAAACTGTAGGTGTCCTCCAGGATCCTGCTGTGTTCAGATCAGCTCATTTTTGTCTACAGATTGATATTTTTTCATTGTTTCTCTGTTTTTTGAGCACAAATAAAAAAAGTCAATGTCAAATCCACTGATGCTATTAGAATGTGATGATGAACATGGAAATGTCTGAATTCTGTCTGAATCCTGTCAAATATTGAATCGACTTTAGAAAAATCCAGCAGTTTAATAAATAAAGGAGAAATGAATTGTGATGTTTTTTTCTGCTCTTCTGATCTTCTTATTTGTGTGTGACAAAGAACACTGAGTTTTAATGTAAAGTCAAACAAGATTCTGAAAAAAATAAAATTTCAACTAAAGTTAATGTCTTATTTTCTCTTGATTTTTCATCTTTATTAACACTTGATGTGATTCTCCCTTGTATATTCACTGGACTCAGCTAATTTTGTATCTAACAGTAATATTCTGTACTAGTTTTAGCATCCTGATCATCTTAAGTTACTTGTTATATCATTTCCAGTACTGACTGATCTAACGTATGTGTTATTGTAAAGTGTCTTATTGAATATATGATCTAACACAGAGATCTCTAAGTCCCGTATTCATATAGAGATTTAAATTGTTATTTAAATTCCTATTTTTTAGGTCCAACACTTATTTGTTTTCTTCAGAGAGCTCTCGGATTTAATCTCAAATACCTTTTTTACTTTCTCTAAATCTTCTTTCAACACACTTGCTCAAGTGGTTTGTGTGTTGTCTTGAGGACACGCCCATAGTCAGGAGAATTTCATGAGTATTCATGTCAGCGTCACTCTGTGGAGCCAATATTTCAGGATATACCTGTAGATCACACAGGTGTGTTTTAGTGAAGTGAAAGAGTCATAGAGCTCAGATTGTGTTACTGCTGCACAAGAGCGTCTGTATTCTGCATGTGAGTTTAATACTTCTACATTGCGCTTATTCGTAGAGATTATGAAGGGTTTTGTGCGTGCGTGTGTGTGTGTGTGTGATTTAATTGTCTGATCCTGAAGCTTAAAGCCTCAAACATGGTGTCTAAACACTGTGACTTACACACACCGCCAAACAAAACTTCACTATTTAATCTCTTGATAGTGTTTGTATTCTTCTATATCAGACAATATCTATATCAGAAGACGAGACTTGATAATTTCAGATCATTCAGCACAAAAATAAACTTAAAACAGAGAGAGTCATGAAATCTAAAGTAAAGTTAAACCAGACCTTCCAGTTAAACAGGAAGAAAAACCTTATCAGACTCATGCTGAGGTTCCTTAAACAAACTGCATTTGACCATTAACTTTCAGCTGAGTTTAGTACTAACTAAAATAAGTAAATAAACCTAAGATTATCTTGACAAACTTTATACAATATGCATGTATTATATCAAATGTGAACAGAAATATCCAGGGTTTGTCAGATCAGGTTAACACTGGGGACTCCAATAGAGTATATCTATCTGCTGTGGAATGACTGAAACTCAGTTTGTGAAGTGAGCATTGATTGCTATAAAGTGTGCTGTTCTTCATCTCAGTATATTGTCATCTCCAGGTGATGGTCAGCGGCTCATTGTTTCCTCAAAGCTCTGCTAATGTCTGCATTGGTGTTTTAGCTGCAGTATGGCAGAGGAGCGAGTAAAGGACTCTCTCTCAGAGAAACACAGGTATTGACTCTGTTTTTACACCATTATTTCAACACTTTCTCTGAAGAACAAAGACCAACAGCAAAGCACTTATTTGTGTTGCTATTGCCTGATCAAATGATGGACAAAGCTTCAGTTTTCACCTTCAGGAAATGTGTTTAGATCATTTTAGATTACAGACAGCTTGATCTGGTGTCATATTTACCAGAGCTGAATATGTGTCATGTTTGGGGTTTAAAGTCCTGTACAACAAGAGAATTAAAGCTGACCGCAGAACAGACCTTATCAGACAGACTTTCAGTCAACTATTCAGTTAGTGCTGAATTAAACTGAACAAACTCATATTTGTCTGATAAACTCTTGTAAAGGAGACTGAAGTTTCTCCTGCAGTTTATTCCTCTGGTGTGTTTGTGTCTTCAGTGAGAGATCAGGACCATGTGTGTCCAGCTCTGTGTCTCTGAATAGTGACTGGTCTAAAGATCATCCACCATACCTTACAGAGAAAACACCATCACCTGCCCAAAGGTATTTTGTGTTTTAAAGGATGTGTCATGTATGGCCTGTTTCAAACATTTTATGTAAACCAAACGTCAAGTAAAGAGAGTCATTCCTAAATGAATCAGTTGTTTGAATGAATCAAATGACTTTGGTGACTCATTAAAACATTAACAGACACCTACTGGCAGTTTTAGGCCCCGTTTACACTAGTGCGTTTTAGTTTTAAAACGGCGTTTTAGAATGAAAACGATCCGCGTCCACACTTGCGTTTTACCCAGTTTTTCTGAACTGCTCTACGTCCACACCAAAACGCTGAAAACGCACATCACGTGACCACACATACACTCTCGGGCTAGCGCTGCAGCATTTCTACCCAGATGAGAGCTCTGCAGTTGTTATAGGCTCCGTTTTGTTATAAATATCCACACAGTGAAGATGACGCTCATATATGCAGCACGGCGCCTCAACATTTCTGCTGTCTGTTAAGTTGCTAATATTAAAATAAAAATAGGCAGTTCCTTAAATCATGTTTACATTTTATTGTTGAGAAAGTGAAACATCGTAGCCTGGGTGATGTAAATGAAGTTATAAAGTACACTGTTCCCTTTGAAGATTTACCTGTGTCATCGGTATAGTCTGTTTTCCATTTTAAACTGAGAAGAAGAGACTGCAGCCTTGATCAAACTTGCAAAGTCTGAACTTACAAGGAGAGGATGCGAGACTGAACTGTGTGTGTGGGCTACTTAATATTGAGGAAAAGCCCCAATCAGATAGGCGAACATCTGCAGCCCCGCCTCTGTTTTCAGATGTATCCGTCTTTCCCCATTCACACTAAGACGGAGCAGCAGTGTTTTAGAATGAAAACGGCCTCTCCAGCGTTTCCAAAACGCTCCGTTTTCGGTGCTCGAGAACTCCGGCGTAGTGTGGACGGATGGCGTAACCGTAGCAAAACTTGTGCATTTTAAAATGAAAACGTATTAGTGTAAACGTGGCCTTAGTGTCTTATTCACTGGATATTTCATTCAATAATAACATCATATTTCCATGTCAATTTAGATTTTTCACCTTGAAATTTAAAAATAATTTTGTCATATTGAACCCTTTATGAATTTCTATCAATTGTTGAACATAAAATATGATTTGAAAATATTTATTATCAAACTGGTACAAATATTTATTGGTAATTTTGAATATGTACTGCGGTAAACCTGCCAGGGGTGTCAGCATCATGAAAAGGGTTCACTTACCAATGAGAGATGCAGCTTGTTGGGAGAGAACTATATAATAGACAGTTTTTAGGAAGACAGTCAGCAGGATAACAGCAAGACTCTTGCTGTATACTCCTCTCCCACGCAGACCCTTGACCGAAACCCCCTAAGCACAAATCCCGCACTTTCTACAATTGCAAATAGTTCCCTGCCAAACCACAGCGCCTGATCCCCAGGAAACAAGAGAGCAGAAGAACCCTCGAAATTGTGACCTGCAAAGGGCACTATGCGTCCAGTACAGAGACCTGCAGCTCTTTCATAGAAGGACACGAAAATGTCTGCAAGAGGACAGGGTCTGCTAATTATCCCGGACCACTCCACAAGACCCAATGAAACACAAAGTCTAGGTCCCCTGGATTACAAGGAGACTTCCAGCAACACAAGACTAGGGCCACAGGCTGTAAGTAAAAACTCTTGAAGTGGTAGTCCCGAGTCCATCCAAGTCTCATGCCTCACCCAGCCTGTTACTCTGTAATCAACAATAGTGTCTTGTACTGGGTTGCTCGAGGGTTGGTGGTACCAAGTTCCCGGACTCAGGGGGTGGTGTCAGCCATACACACGTAGTCGAAAAAAGGGTAAGGAGCACCCTTCTACAACTCCAAGAGTAGTACTACTGGCCAGGACTGGAAGCGAAGTTATGACACTACTGCCATCAGGTTCCAGGTTGAAAATATACATCCCCTTGACCTTCCCCTAAACCACCAGTGCTGCTTTTCAACCACACTGGTAGGAACATAGTGAGGTATCCATCTCCCTTCTCTCCAACTCTTTGATTAGAATTGGAGCTAAACTTTGCAGAACAATGGCCGTGCAGGACTGAAGTTGCCCATTCTTGTTTTAGATGGTTTACACAGTCATGACTCTTGTTTGTGATTTTCCAATCTAATTTGATGTGACACAGCAGTGGTGGATCACGCAAGTGACAAATCTTACCACCACTCCCAACTGTCTCATTATTTGCATTGATCCTGCATTATTTTTAGTGTTTGTAAGATATATCTGTATTTGTTTGCCTTAAAATGTTTTGTTTCAGTAGTTTTATTTGTTAACAGTGTTGAATATGAGTTACCAGATGCAGGAGACAAAACTAACAGGACCCACAAGAGTTTTACAGGCAATCTCCTGTTGATCTTCCAGGTGGGACTTAATTTGATTCACATTTTAATTAATATTAAAACAGACAAAATGGCTATTGAAAAAAAGATCCTGCTTCTGCAACATTTCATTTGTAAGAGTTATTTTTTATTTACTTATTTTCAAGAATGAAAATATATTTGTTAAGGAATAATTGAATTTGGTCTGTTGAATTATTAGAAAATAAGACCAGAGTCTCAATTATCCCACATATCTGACCAAGCAAGTTTGTGTTTAATCTGTCTAACTTCTTGCCATAGATTTAAATATGTCTTCTTGACAGAGTAAACCAATCAGTAACCCAAAACAGATCATCAAAAAATATGGAATCATTCTGTTTTAACAAAGGAATGGATGCAATAGCATATCATCTTTGTTTTTACATTACGCAGTGTGTCCTGACTTGAAAGTCTCTCAATGATCTGTTGTAGTTACTCCTCCATCAGTTGATCAGAAATTTAGCAAGGTACTGAACTGTGATTGCCAAAGATAGGGAAAGGAAAAGAACCAGACCTGGGACCTAGTAAGCGTGGGTCCTATTTTTACTTGTGACCATTAGCTCCCAAATAAGCAAGAACAGACACCAGAATGGTAAGAGAAAACTGAAAGGGGATGCAACTTATATGGGGCTGAAAATGTCACACGCCCAAGTTGCCTTCCAGTGCCAGTTTATGTCCCTTTGTCTTCAGGCAGGGTTTTACCTGCAGTTTTCCATCCATACTCAAACACCTGAACAAGCTCATTAAGGTCTTATTAGGTATAATTGAAACTTGCAGGCAGGTGTGTTGAAGCAAGGTAGAGCAAACTCTGCAGGGACACTGGTGCTCCAGGAACGAGATTGGTGACCCGTGATCTACAGTCTATTGGCTGCATATGAACAGATGCAGCTATCTGTAAAACAAAGAGGAATGTGGCCATTTGGCCCATATAATTCAGAAATTGCCGTGGTAAATCATTTTTAATGGGTTTTATCATTTAGCAGTGGGAGAGGGCTGCTTAAAAGTTTGTGTAACGATGATTTCTTTCTCCTAACAAACTTAACTATAGCACAAAACTAGTCACAGATTAAAAACAGGTTAGACAAGCATACTCTAGATTTGGACTATTCTTGGACATCTATTACAGTTTCACTCACTGTCCAAATTTAGCCATATGTTAGTTAGCCAATAATCTATGTTAAAATGCATATTAGACTTCTTTTCAACACAACAAAGTCTTGTTGGGATACTCTGGTTCCTACAGCTAGTATTCTGTTGTGTTTTGATGTGAATTTCATTGTATCTGAATTACATTTTTGGTTAAATATTGTTGTTCTCTTTTCTTCAATCATAGAATCTTGAGAGTAAAATTATCAGCTTTTTAAAGAATGAACTGGCAAAGTTTAAGAAAATCTTAAACAAAGAATACAGTCAAGATTTTTTAAAGAACTTTAATGAGAACAGAAGCAGTATCACAGAAGCAGCTCTTGATCTCACACTCTTCTTCCTGAGAGAGATGAAGCAAGATCAAGCTGCTGAGACTCTCGAGGGTAAGAGACTCATGGACATCTGTCACTTACAAATATAGCTGGAAAAGTCAAGACTAAATCTCTCTGTTTATTTGCTCCCGTGTTTAGATGAGCTGTTCTTCATCAATCAGCTTAAATGTAGCCTGAAGAAGAAATATCAAAGTGTGTTGGAGGGAAATGCTCAGCAAGGAGACTCCACACTTCTGAATAACATCTACACAGATCTCTATATCACTCAGGGTGTAAGTAAACAGGTCAACACTGAACATGAGATCAGACAGATTGAAGCTGCTTCCAGACGTCATCAGTCACTAGAGATGAAGATTGAATGCAAACATTTGTTTGAAGCACCTGAACAAGACAAGCAGATTAGAACTGTCCTGACAAAAGGAGTTGCTGGCATAGGGAAATCAGTCTCTGTGCAAAAGTTTGTTCTGGATTGGGCCGAAGGAAAAGAAAATCAAGACATAAACTTCATATTTCCTCTTCCATTCAGAGAGATGAACTTAAAGGAGAAAGAAAAACAAAGTTTAAAAGACCTCATAACTCAGTTTTTCATAGAGACTAAAGGACTGAACCTTACAAGAAGCACACGGTTCAAAGTCCTGTTCATCCTTGATGGATTGGATGAATGTCGTCTTCCTCTGAACTTTGCTGGTAATGAGACGTGTCGTGATGTATCTTCAGCAGTCTCTTTGGATGTTCTCCTGACGAACCTCATCAAGGGAAATCTGCTTCCTTCTGCTCTCATCTGGATCACCAGCAGACCAGCAGCTGCCAGTAAGATTCCTGCTGACTGTATCGACCGGCTGACAGAGATACAAGGATTCAATGATGCCCAAAAGGAGGAGTACTTCAGAAAGAGACTCACAGACCCGAATCAGGCCAGAGAAATCATTGATCACATTAAACAGTCAAATAGTCTCTTTATTATGTGCCACATCCCAATCTTCTGCTGGATTTCAGCCACTGTTTTCCAGAATGTTTTGAAGGAGAACAGAAATACTGAACTGAAACACAGGGCTAATGTTGAAACACTGCAGGAATCTCCCAAGTGTCTGACACAGATGTACACACACTTTCTCCGTTGTCAGATCCAGCAGAGCAGGCGAAAGTATGATAGAGAAAACACACCAGATGTCTCCTGGGATCAAAACCTCATCCTTTCACTGGGGAAACTGGCCTTCCAACAGCTGGAAAGAAACAATGTGATCTTCTATGAGAGCGATCTAAAAGACTGTGGCATTGACGTCTATAAGGCCTCGGTGTACTCAGGCATGTGTACTCAGATCTTTAAGAAGGAGACAGGAATCATTCTTGGTACCATGTACTGCTTTCTTCACTTGAGCATTCAGGAGTTCATTGCTGCACTTTATGAGCATCTAATTCTAGACATCAACAAGAAACCTTTTCCTATTTTTAAGTTGAAAAGCAAAAATAAATGTCTGATTGATTTGCTAAAGGCTGCAGTGGACAAGGCTCTGGAAAGTGAGAATGGACATCTGGACCTTTACCTTCGCTTCCTTCTCGGTCTGTCACTCCAGTCCAATCGACAACTCTTACGAGGCCTGTTGACACAGCAGGATGACAGAGACAAGAGCAAAAAGAAAATAATTGCATACATCAAGCAGAAACTTGAAGGAAATCTGTCTCCAGAGAGATCCATCAATCTGTTCTACTGCCTGAATGAACTGAACGACCAAACTCTGCTGAAAGAGATTCAGTCTCACCTCAGTAGAGGAAGTCTGTCATCTGCTGATCTTTCACCTGCCCAGTGGTCTGCTCTGGTCTTTGTGTTGTTGACCTCAGAGAAGGAGCTGGAGGAGTTTGAGCTTCAGAAATTCCAGAGATCAGACGAGTGTCTCATTAGACTATCAGCAGTCATCAAAACCTCCAAAAGAGCTCAGTAAGTCTAAGTCATTCTTTCTTTCATCTAAGCTATAACCAATCAGTTCTTCAATGCAGTTTTTGAATCAGGGACAGCTTAGATCACATTTAGCTGGGTTTTCAATGAGTAAAAGTATGTAAAGCTAAGATGACAAGTTGTACTTACATAACTAAAACATACATGTTTTTTTTGTCCTCCACACAGGCTACAGTGCTGTAATCTTACTTTTCGTTCTTGTGAGAGTTTGTCTTCAGCTCTACAATCCTCAACCTGTGTTCTGAAAGAGCTGGACCTGAGTGACAATGACCTGCAGGATTCAGGAGTGAAGCTTCTCTCTGATGGACTGAAGAGTCCAAACTGTAAACTGGAGATCCTGCGGTAAAAACTCAACAACAACTAAAGGATAGTTACATATTGTGTTACCGAATGTAGACGCCTGTTAAATCGATCGGCAGATGAAGAAACAAAACATTTACAGGGATATGACTTGATTTAAATGTTTTGGCAATTGTATACAACAACAACAAAAATACAAATTATATAAAAACAAACAGGGTTTAGGTCCTTGAAAAGCATTTTGACCTGCTTTGACCAGCTTATGACCTGTAAGTGACTAGCAGGAGTAAGTGATGCTTCTGTAACTTGCAGGGCCCTATGAACCTTGCAGTCAACAAAATATTTAGAGTAATTAAGTATTTTGAGTGTGTCAGCTGATTTCAGGGATTGATCAATAAGGAGAGGTAATCAGAATATGTGTTTTCAGGATATATTACTGGTGTTCACTTGAGCAGAAATATCAGTCAGCGTTTTCACAACCCAAAGAGATGTGTGATTGTCCAACTGTGCGACCATTGCTGTGTTTGTAGATTGTCTGGCTGTATGGTGACAGTGGAAGGCTGTGGTTTTCTGTCTTCTGCTCTGACTTCAAACCCCTCACACCTGAGAGAGCTGGATCTGAGCTACAACCATCCAGGAGATTCTGGAGTCAAGCTGCTCACTGAAAAACTGGAGGATTCAAACTACACACTGGATAAACTCAAGTACGTTAACCATTACTTCCCTTGTCATTATACACTTAGCACATCTTCAGTAAACTTAGAAGACGTGGTGTTGTGCTCCTGCATTTGTGCCTAATTTTAATAATAACTGCATCACCATGGTCACTTCACCACCTTCACCCCCGGAACCCTTTCCTGAACTGGTCAGTGCTCTCAAAATGTTCCATGTCTCAGCTTCAACTGCCTTTGTTATTCTGATGGCACTTCATATTCCTAAAGGATTCTCCACCATTCTACACCAGGATGCCTTTGTTCAAAGAACCATCCACATTTCTCAATGCCTAGATGTCTGCCATGTACCAAAAGTTTTTTTTTTGGGGGGGGTTTTATCATTAAGGAATGTTGTGCGATGTGTATGTTTACTGTGCAGTATCATGTCAGAATGAGGGATAGTGAAAGTGTCATGGATGAAGTCTGATCAGATACATGTTTCAAAGTTTTAAAAAATTTCTAAATGTAAGCTGACCTTTAGCCATCCCTGCCTTTCTCATCACAATCTTCATAAACTAGCCTATGTGTGAGTCATGATACAGTGATCAAGGCCTTGCAGTTTGCTGCATCAGTCACTAAATAAAGTATAACTCCCAGAATCTTAGCACTTACACACCAGTTTCTGATCCTCCCTGGAAGCTCAGGATTGACTGATTAGTAGTGTTATAAAGAAATCTCATTCACATACACTCTTTGCTGAGACTTGTTAGCTGTAAGCAGGGGTGCTGCTGGCTGTCATGGGCCCTCTGACAACCTTTCACGGATGAAACTGAAGAACGGGTTGGGGGGCTGGTGGTCAAGGTTGGTGTCACAGAAGGAAATGAAGAGCGGGCGGGGGGGGTCAGATAGAAGTGAAGAAAGTGGGGGGAATGTAGGGTGTTTAGGCCCCTAACAATATCTCTGGGGGCCCCAAAACTGCATGGGCCTTTATAATCATCCTAAATCCCCCTTAGCAGTGCCCCTGGCTGTCAGTGAACAATTCTAAGAATGTTACCTGCCTTGTTTAGCCTGTTTTGACCTTTGTTATGTTGTTTAAGTTGTTTTGCTTCCTGTCCTGGCCATTTGCCTGTGACTTTGACTACGCTTTGGAGTAGAAAGTGCAAATATTTGAGCAAAAATGTAAAAGTAAAAGCTTGTCAGAAAAGTAAATAATGAAATACAAAACTGATACCAGAAAAATCAGCTTAAATACAGTAACAAAGTATTTGTACTTTGTTGGTTCCTTTATCTGTTGATAAGAATAATTCTGACTGCAGTTGCTGAAAATAAAGTGTGTTTAGTGTTTGTTTACTGACAGAATGTCAATCTGTGTGTTTACAGTCTGGATCATGGAGGAGAAATGAGGATTACAGCTGGACCACACAAATGTATGCACGCACACGTACACACACACACACACACAGCTTTATTGAGTGTAATAAATGTGTCTCTTCTTGTGTTCAGATGCCTGTTTCCTCACACTGGATCTAAACACGGCAAACACTGAACTTAGTCTGTCTGAGGAGAACAGAGAGGTCAAGTGTGTGTGGGAGAATCAGTCGTATCCCGATCATCCAGACAGATTTGATCGTGTACTTCAGGTGTTGTGCGAAGAGAGTGTGTGTGAACGCTGTTACTGGGAGATTGACTGGACTGGAGATCATGGTGTGTGTATATCAGTGTCATATAAGAGCATCAGCAGGAAGGGAGGCAATGAGTGTTTGTTTGGACGTAACGCTCAGTCCTGGAGTTTGATCTGCTTTTCCACCAGCTTCTCATTCATACACAATAACATAAAGACTAATCTCTCAGTAAAGCCGCTCAGCAGTAGAATAGGAGTGTTTGTGGATCACAGTGCAGGAACTCTCATTTTCTACAACATCTATAGAAACACAATGAGCCTCATCCACTCAGTCCAGACCACATTCACTGAGCCGCTCTATCCTGGGTTTTGGGTTTATTCTGGATCATCTGTGAAACTGTGCTGAAGTCTACAAGACGGAAAAGAGATCAGACCACAGGTTTCGTCAGTAGCAGTGAGATGCTTTGGAGTCTCTTCTTCTCACACAATCCTCAAAAACTTCTGTCTCTGAGAGAACATTTGTATCAGAAATCCTCATGTGTGTCTGTGTAAGAGAGACAGATCATTTGAAATTACTTTTGTATTATAATGTTAATGTGATCAGTCTTGATTATAAATGCAGTCTAAATTTAATGATCACTGGAAACTGGAGATTCAGAAGATTACACTCTGAATTACCAAAATTAGTAGCAAATTAGTTAATTATACAGAAGGGTGAGAAAAGACTAATACGTTTAGACTCTAACCATATTGTTGGATTCTGTCCTACAAATACCAATACAAAGTGGACTCTTACAAAGTGGTGACCCCGACGTGATATTCTAGAAAGTTTCAGGCCAGTGATGTCTTTCAGTGGTGTGTAAGGTGTTTGCTCCATACTGCTTTCTTTATTCTAATTTCTTTGCATGTTTGTCACACTTCAATGTTTCAGATCAAACAAACAGTGGGGCCTTGGATAGCGGAGGGGTGTCGTGGTGTTAAGTTAACCTGTTAGCCAGCACTCAATTTTGGGCATTTACACTTACCTAACTTTAAATAGTAACAGTTCCTGACTCCAGTAAAAAATATAAAAAGTTATATATTATGAGGAAAAAATCGTATTGTGTTCAATATTTGTTTTTCATATACAAACACAGGAAAACATTAATGTAATGTCCTAGAAAAATATGACGACAGCATGCAAAATGACATTTCTGTAAAGCAATTTCTGTAAAGAGATTTCTGAGGCACTTTCTCAAAAATTATCTTCCCAAAGCTAAAACATTTAGTTGCTGAATGATTTGGTCTACATTCACAGTTTATGTATCATTGGAAAGAAGACACTCTGGGCTTTATTATCCATCATCTAGAGTTTATAATGCTCAAAATGGAAAAAAAATATTATGGATGCTTTAGTAATGTAAAAAAAATTGCACTGCACTAAACATTTTATTATTTCAAAAACAAATATGTGAAATCAGTCCTGGATCAACACAGAAAAGTAATAGGTCAAAAGCCCACATCTCCTGAGTATATGTTTTGAATTTGATGCCATTATCATACAAAATGAAATTTCTGGAATTCAAATTTTGAGACAATGTCTTGTGATTTTTTTCCCCCCTCTCCTTGTTTGTGGAGAAGCAGTCTAATGACCACATACACACTGACGGTTTCACACTCCACAAATTAATTGTAAAATAATAATCAGAAACGTACAGCATGAATGATTTATTTGAGCACAAGTAGTACATTGTATAAAATAAGTCTAGAGCAAATGCAACAAAAAGTCTTATTAAAGTCTTCTTAAAAGTCAGAAGATTCTTCACTCCATCACTCCAGCGCAGAGATACAGCTACATGACAAAAACAGAATTAGCATTCTGTTGTAAACAATAGTGTTTCCCCTCTTGAGTAGCAAACACAATTTACTCTGATGCCCATTTATTCATATTATAATTATACACATAGCTTAGCTTACAGATGTACCAGAAGCCATTCAGATAGTGCCAAACATTACTAAAAGATTATGGCTAGCGGATAGACATTCACACTTTTAGGCATGAGCAGGCTAAACATAGAAGACCTGAGACGTAAACAACAAGCAATGACTGTATAATAAGTTACTCACCGTTATAAAAACCGAAAGTAAGGCTTTATCCACGTCGTGTAAGTATGAGCTCTCCTCAGAAATATTTTCCTTTGTTTACTTTTTGCAAACGAGCCGCTCTGCCGTTAGCTTGAGCTGTTAGCAGCTGTGCGTGCACTCTGTGCAGGGGGCAGGTGCATCGAGTGATGATTGACAGTTTTATGAGCCAGTAGCAGCAAAAAGTGTGCAGTAACATGAAAATCACGCAGCCACTGGCTAAATTCTCTGTCAGTCAAACTTCTGGGAAATAGGAAGTGATTTCTGTGACTAATCGATAGCAATGACAGAGACATACAGACGTTCAAAACACTCGGCTTTGTTTAGATTTTAGTAACTATAACTTTGACTTTTTATTTAGTTTGTGGTCTCATTTTGTCTGTAACACTGTAAGCTATGACATTGACTGGTCTTTTACTCCAAAGACTGTTTTCACGTGTAAGTATCATGGTAAAACGGTGTAAACCAGGCGTGTCCAAACTACGGCCTGCGGGCCATCTGCGGCCCGCAATCAGTTTTGTGGCGGCCCGCGAGGCTTTTTATAAATATCAATAGAATCTGGCCCGCTATACAAAAATGAACGTAATTCAATAAATAACCACCGGGTATCACTATTACATGCATTCAATTAAGCAGCAGTTCTTGTTATGATCTATCTATCTATCTATCTATCTATCTATCTATCTATCTATCTATCTATCTATCTATCTATCTATCTATCTTCACACAGTTGAAGTCTGAATTATTTGCCCCTCTTTGATTTATTTCTTCTTTTTTAAATATTTCCCAAATGATGTTTAACAGAGCAAGAACATTTTTACCGTATGTCTGATAATATTTTTTCTTTAGGAGAAAGACTTTTGTTTTATTTCGGCTTGAATAAAAAGCGGTTTAAATTTTTTTATGAACCATTTTAAGGTCAAAATTATTAGCCCCTTAAGTCTTCAGAACAAACCATTGTTATAAAATAACTTGCCTAAATACCTTAACTTAACTAGTTAACTTGATTAACCTACTAAAGCCTTTAAATGTCACTTTAAGCTGTATAGAAGTGTCTTAAAAATATCTAGTCAAATATTATTTACTGTCATCATGGCAAATATAAAATAAATCAGTTATTAGAAATGAGTTACTAAAACTAATATGTTTAGAAATGTGTGGAAAAAAATCTTCTCTCCGTTAAACAGAAATTGGGGAAAAAATAAACGGGGGCTAACAATTTAGGGGGGCTAACAATTCTGACTTCAACTGTATTTATAAATATATATACGTGTCTGTGTGATGTATGTAAAATTTGGCCCGCAACAACGTTTGTTTTTTTGCATCTGGCCCTTGGCCCAAAAAGTTTGGACACCCCTGGTGTAAACAATAGGTCTCCGGCAGAAACGGTGACATAAACAAATGAATAACCATTAATATTTCAACACTACTGTGTTGGTGGACTAAATGTGTTTGATGGGATGTTTTTCAGTGGACTCTGACCTTTCAAAATAAAACATGATGCACAGCAATGAATGCGTGTGTGTGTGTTGTTTTTTACATAATATGTATGCCATATCTAATAAGCGTTGTCTGCAAAACTTAAAGAAATTTAGCAAATACATTCTTTATATGCTTTCCATTGAAAAACAACTAGCTGCAATGGGTCCTTAGGGGATGTAGCTTTAAACTGATGTAGAGTTTTTCAAGATTACTCTTGTCCTTTTTGGTGTAACATTGACGTGGAAAGAACAGTGCCTCAGTGGGTCCTCGTCAGGGCGCTGAGGAAGGTAAAAAATTACATGCAACCATACTGCACAGTAAAATCAGAGTAAAATTTACTCAGTTCAGAGAATATTTGGTCCCTCTAAATTGAGCAAAATTTACTCAGCAAAAGTTAATGAGACAATGATGGGGTTAATTAAGTGATAATTGAGCGCTGATGTAGGGGATCAACCTACGTTTTAATATCGATCAGGTGTTTATAGAGTGGAGGAACTATGACGTCAATTTGTATGCAAAAACCCGGAAGCGAGTTAGCAGTTTAGCACTTCCGGTTCCCTCGTCCCAAAGTCAATGGGTTTTTTGAATGGGGTTTCAGTAAAATCACTTAAATAAGGTCCGTGGCAAACACCAACTCTATACTTTCACGTTTTTTTCTACGACATAAAACACATCACACTCTTCAACTTTTAAAACGATTATGCTTCTTTAAAAAGACGGTTGCTATCAAGTTGCTAAATGAGACTACAGGCGGCGTCGGGGACATTATATGTCATCGAGCTGATCTGGTCTGGAGCGCAGCTCGCTTGTGTTGGGCGTTTGGATTTTTCTGTGATTTAAGTATTTTCATGAATAGTATTTTAGAGTTTTTTGTATTATTCTAATTGAGAAATTAGATTGTGTGTAGATAATTCCTTCACATGTAAAGGCTGTCGAGACAGATTCATTTGTTGATCATTTATTTTAATTAAACGATATTATGAAGATACTGCTCACCAGTGCAGCCTGTTTCTTTCCTGCTCTCAGTAATGCAAACGTGTGAATAAATGTGTAAATATACATGCATATTAACTGTCATTTTAACGTGATCAAGTGATTTCTCATCTTTTTTTCTTCATCTGATCACATTTAACTGCAGTATTTACACTCCTCCATAAAACGTATAGCAGATGTGACTGTATGGGCTGTTTAAGATCCTGATTGGCTCTCTCGGTTTGACCATTACTCTGGGGATGAAAACCGGAAAAAAAGATTAACAGTGGCCCCCAATAAACGACAGAATTCTCTCCAGAATTTAGAGACAAACTGAGGTCCCCTGTCAGAAACCATGACCGTCGGGAGTCCATGAATGCAAAAGAAATGATTAATGATCAATCGCTGTCTCTCTGGCTGATGAGAATTTGAGCAGAGGGACAAAATGAGTAGCCTTCGAGAACCGGTCCACCACGGTTAAAACCACCATGTTACCGTTAGAGGATGGAAGACCAGTAACAAAATCTAGATGTGGGACCAGGGTCTCGAAGGCACTGACAGCGGTTAAAGGAGTCCAGCAGGTGGGCGATTGGAAGACTTAAAAACAGCACAGACAGAGCAAGCCAAAACAAAATTGCACACATCACGAGCCATAGCTGGCCACCAGAATCGTTGTTTAATAACAAATAATGTGCGACTCACCCCCGAATGACAGGCTACTTTGGAGGAATGACCCCATCAGATAACGTCGGACAGCAGATCCTCTGGCACGAATAACCGACTCAGTGGGCATCCGATCAGGGGCTTTACCCCATCCGAGGCTGCGCAAATCCTCGACTCGATCTCCCAAGAAATGTTAGCAACAAAAACCCTCTGAGGGAGCACAGGATCGAGTGATGACGTACGATCTGAAGGATCAAAAAGATGGGATAAAGCATCAGGTTTGATGTTCTTAGAACCTGGGGCCTCATGTACGAAGACTTGCGTGGAAATCTTACTAAAACATTGCGTACGCACAAAGCTGTAAATGTGCGTACGCAGAAAAAAATTCAGATGTATGAAACACTGCGTACCCCGAATCTCACGCATATTCTTTTGTACATCTGAATGAACGTGAAACTGAGCGCAACATGCACGAGCACAAAACCCCTCCCTGCCTCCTCCCCCGTATGAATATGCTAATGACTATGCTAATGTCAAAACCCAACGAAAAAGCAATGGCAAAAGCAAGCAAAAAGAGAAACTTTGAAAAGAATGTGAAATGGAGGTGCTGCTTTCGGAGGTAGACCGGAGAAAAGCGGTGTTATTTGCAAGTTTGTTCGGCGGAATTAACAACAAAAGAAAAAAAATAGAGTGGGAGAGTTTAGCTGATACGGTTAACACAGTTGGGTCTGAACATCGCACTGAGTGCATTTAAAAAAGAAATAGTGTGGTTTATATCTGTAAAATGTTGCAGCACCCTT